GAAATATTGAATCCCAACACGATGGCGTGTATTTCAATACTTGGAGTATGTATTATACTTTCTCAAACATAACCTTGCTCTCTGGATTGGTGTAATAATGTAATAATAATGTAATAATTCTATTTATATTTAAAGCATAACTTTCGACTATTAGTGATCATCGCCACTTTTAGTTGGATATATAGGCCTAATGTAGTTTTTCTTTATATATAGATATATATATATATATAAATATATATATTGTTCAAATATCTTTATTTAGTTTTTATTTATGTATACTGAAACGTAATATAAGTTAAAGTTGTGGTTTACTTTAAATGAAATTTCAATATCAGTATAGATTTGTGAGGTATTATGCATCTTGGAGGTTATGAAATAACATCTTATACATATTTTTTTTCATTATAACACGTTTAATAATAATTATTATCCTAATTTTTGTTAGCATTTTTTTAATCGTATATCAAATGAGCTGTCACCAATTTCAATTAACAGATGTACATCATGAAAATACCATACTGTAAACACAGTCTATACAATGTTTGAATATGTAAAGTCCAATTCAATGTTGTTCGAAAGGTTATTGCTTTCTATTTAATGCCTGCAAGGGCATGTGATAGGTTTAGCTTCAGACGCTTCCTTGTGTGTTCCATCAGACTTTAGTGTAAAGTTGTGGTAAATGTTCAGTTGACGAAGTTACACATTTCTTAATAGGCTTTCTGTATACTGTAGATCAACTGATTCCGTTCGGTTTGAGGACGTGAATTTTTATGAGATCCCAAAACATTTTCAAGAGACTGATGAATTGGTTTTCAGTGTTTTATAGATCTAAAAAATCAGCTATTCCATCAATTGATTGTGTATCTGGGTTATACTTTCTTAAATTCTTAAATTTTGGCTCAAGATAAAGGTCGTCAATAGATCTAGTAGTATATCAATAGTATATTCTGTCTGGTCTGTATCTATTATTTTCCATTGAATATGTTTCTTTGGGGCTTAAGACTTAATTTTGTTTGATGTCTCTTACATCGGAATATATGAAATGTTCGACACTTTTACTTCCGAGCATTGGCAGGATGTTCTGGTTGAGGCTCACCATTGCTGTACAAGTCGTTATTCATTTCAATAAATTCAGTCTGGTTCAACGATACGTTGTGATTGGCATAATGTGATGTCACTTTGCTCTTTTTTTCTTGACTCCTCCTAATTTTCGTTTTGATACAAAATACAAATAGGCCTAGTAAAATGAGTAGGCATAATACAGCTCCGCTTACCATGTAAATTATCAAGTCACCAGTTGCTGCATCGTGGCTGGTGAAAGAAAGAATGATGCTTTTATTGGCGCTTAATCCAGATGGTATACTGACTTTGCATCTTATTTCAGCATCTAAGTGTTCAGTTTGAAGTTCTAAAATCTCTAAAATCGTACCATTTTTAATAATATTGAACACTGATTGAGATGACGTCACGTGCTTATTGTTAAAAAACCAGTTATATTCCGAAATACGTGGAATACCCTCACCGAAACAGGTAATGTTTAATGAGTTTCCAGCATCATATGACATTTTATTTACGATTATACTTACATTAGGTTGGATGCTTAAAGGCACAACAGAGCAAGACTGGTTTCCAACTACAGATATTCCATCAGCTTTACATTTGAATTCAACTCCATTATCCTCATTTGACAGTGAGATTGATAGGATGTCCAGGTAAGTAATACTACTATCTTGTGACGTAAAATCGTCGGTTTCATTAAGTTTGATATTGTTTTTGAACCAATGTAAAGATGGTCTTGGTATACCACCGATGGCAGTGCACACGATCTCCACATTTTCTCCAACATGTATATTATCTGTGCTGTTAGTAATGGTACATTTTGGATAATTCGTATCAAGAGGTGTAATGACTGTAAGGGTTGCCGATTTAGAAGATTTACTACCTCGTTCACAATGATATTTTGTCTGATCGTCAGCCCTCGTCACATTTAAGACTGTCAAATTACTTCCCGTACGCATGCCGTTAACAAATGTAACGTGTTTTCCGTCAGTAGGTAAAACTAGCATTGCTGATGATTGACCATGCTGCTTATAAAACCAATTCCATGAGGAAGCATAGTCGCCAGGCAAATACTCAAGGAAGGCATTCTGCCCCTCAAATACGGCTACATCTGTAGGACCAATATATCCAGTACAACCAACGCTGAATATACAACTAAAAATCAGAACCAATGATTGCAGCCATCTTTTCTTGCTGAGGCACAGCAGACCAAATGATAAGTTAAGTATGATGATATAGTGCATGGTGTTTTGAAATAACACAATAACATAACATAGGCCTACTTCCTTAAAGCTTCGGTATTCAGTGCAGTAGTGTCTTACAATGAAATATAGTCGTGTTGTTCATGTAAGCGAATTGTTTATATTTTATACGGTACAATGATTTAATTCTTTGGAGAAGTACACCATGATGCATCTCAATGCATCAATGCATGACGCACTCAATCTGTATTTAGTGCGTTTTTCAAAATGAAGGGTTTCATGAAGGTTTGCAAGCCTTTTTACTAAACCATTATAGCATAAATAATAATTGTACAATCATGGCAGAGGATCACGAATGTTACGTGGGGGTAGTGGTCGGATGATTAGGTGAGGGGCTCTAGCTCGAAAAGTAAGGTAATGTAAGGTGACGTTTAACTGATTGAGCGTGATTTTTTTTGGGGGGGGGGTGAGGTGGATGCGAGTAGTATTTTTTTAGGGGCGTATCCCCCCCCCTCCTCGCACAGCCCCTACATACGCCACTGAATCGAGTTATTAGGGCCGTGGGAACCGCACCGGCTATGGCCGATCCACTTTTTCTCAATTCCATTATTTTAAATTAATATACACTGCCACTTATATATTTAAACAAAAATCCACAATGCGCTTGTTTTTGTATTGCCTATGTACTTTTTTTTTGTCGCAAACCTTAATTTTCAGTAATAAATATAAAGACTAATTTTGAAAATATTTAGAGGTAGGCCTATAAATATAAAATTACAGTCAACTATTTATAAAATCTTACCGGTTAGAGTTGTCATCACAACACAACAGTATACGTGTCAAGCCGGGGTGGAGCAGAGGTGATGGGTAGGATATCTAGTCCACTTCTACTAACTTCAAATCCTGCAACTGCCCCTGCAAGGGGTTGGAATAGGTATAGGTGCTTTGCAGGTTGTCAGCTACTATTTTCGGGTTTCCACAAAGGTCATATTTTTCAAATGTGTTGGTATAATTCATATACAAACTAACTTTACCCCTTGAGAGAGGGGATAGCAGTTCTGCGTAATTAGCAGCTGCGATTTTCGGGCATCCCTAAATTATACTTTTAGACCACAATGATAATGAAGGCAATAACTATGATTGGATATGAAAATTATTTTAGTCCGACAAACTCGTCGTGGCGTGGGACGATGAATGGTGGGTGATATCCATGTTTGATAATAGGCCGAAAATTTGGATGCGCTTACCTTTCATTGGTAAGCAAGGTAGCTTTATTATCCATAAATGTATTAAAAAGATAAGTAGACACCTGACTAAGGATGTTAAATTTGTTACGCTCTGGCAAAGCAAACAAATTTCATATTTTACTTCTAATAAGGATCGGACGCCAAAAGAGTATTGTAGCTCTTTAATATATAAATTCAAATGTCCTGGATGCCTCGACAGTTATATAGGCAAAACAGATAGATGCTTAAAAGTTCGAGCTGTTGAACATTCTCGTAATGTAAACAGTAGTGTACATGAACACGTTGAGAGTTGTGAAGGTTTTAATCATATAATTGGTCTACATCTTATGACGGCTGACAATACATCCAAACAATCTCTCATTGAGTCCTTATTATTTGAAAATATTAATATTATTCATGGTTCTCTACATTGGTCTGAAATTTTATTTGCTGAAGCCTTAGCAATAAGAAGATACAAGCCTAGTCTAAACTATGGTCTCAGAGCCTCTAAAGAGCTTGCATTATTCACATAGCATAAGTGCTAACATGCTTTTGTTCTAAAATAATCATTTGTTTATCACAATCTTATTTTGTTTATCAATTTACTTATCAGAATATCATTTGTCTCAATGTTCCGCCTACCTCTTTCTAATTGGTCGAAATTTATCTTGTATTGATTTTTGGTATGTTTGTCAGTATTTTTGGACTTAAACTATTCATTCTTAACAATGTTCCAATAAAGAACGAAACGTAGAATCAACTATGGCCTCACGTCTGTCATTTTTCGGAGTCACCATACTCATATTCTATTTACGTATAATCAGTGGATCCTTTGGTTAAAGGTGTATGGTACCCAACAAAATTCCATGTGCGATGCCAATAGATTAAATCTAAACATGTCATTGATACTGTATATACTCTACTACAGAATCGAAACATTCAGTTCCTGGAGGTCAATCGGAGTATGGAAGCTATGATGGAAGCAAGACTAAATAGAGCAACCCAATCTTTACCATAACTGCTGAATTTCCCGGGGTTTTTATTTTATTGCAAAACAATCTTCAGTTTCACTCGTACGCTGATAATACGCAGATGTACACCTCATGAAGTGGCGTCATGGAGTTTGTAGGGCCCCCTGGCGGTGACAGTTATTGGGGGGAGGGCTCCCCGGGGGCTCTAATAAGCAAGCGTTAAGTTAGCGAGCGGAGCTGGTCGCCAGGGGGTCGCGTAGGGCTCCGGTCGGGGTCCGAGGGGGACTCGCTCCCTCGCGCTCAGAGCTTATGACATTTATAAACTGTTACCGTAACTGGTTGTTAGAGAACATAGCATGGTCCATGACTGATGAAATATTTCAGACAACGTTATGACAAAACCAACATTGATTACATAGGCCAACTTCGGAACTGGTAGGTATAAATAGTACAAAGAATATTTTAGTGAGAAACAAAACATTTTTTTTTATAGGCGACATCGATCAGGTGTGGTTCACAAGACACAAAAAAAAGAATAAAAACTGCAGCGATTTTTTTACATGAGCCCAGAGATAATGCGGTTTCTGTATGATGCTGCCAGTCCAGTGTATTTTAAATGTTTAAAACTGTCGGGGGCCCCATTGAATAAAACTATGGTACTATAGTTTATATTATATTTGTTTAAACTACAATGTCGGGGCTTCTCGTGCCAAGTCCGAAAATGAAATTTTATTAATTCTGTATTTTATTTTGTTAAGTTGATTATTCCACTCTACCTACCTCATAAATAAAGATCAAACATGAAACAGGTAAGTTTTTGTTTAATATTTCCTATTTTAAATGCTTTTCAGAATTGCTAGCTGCTTCACTTTTCACTTAAACAAAAGTTAAATTCTTTTTCTCTTGTAGAAAACTAATTGACAATACTCTCTCACTTTCTTAATAGGGCTATTTTGCTGTTGGGTATGAACATTCATCTGCAATATTAGGCCTAACATTTGTGAAGTTTAATAACCAAGAAACGTCGTGGCTAAACTTTAAAGGGAACAGGTATGGAGACGATTTATTTTGAAGAATGGTCTTATTTTGAAGAAAGGTATTTCTTTTGCACACATCTTCAGAGATAATCTAACAGGAGACAATACTGATGTAAAATGGAAGAAAACCAAATTAATTTACTACTCAGGAGCATCATTTTGCTGAAGGTGTAGTGTAAGAGGTAGGAAAGATAATATCTATTGTTCTACACAAAGAAAAATATATGCAAATTTAACACTTTAAGAGGAAAACATGTGCATCGACTGGAGCTTCGTTCAGTTTTATAGGATAAGGTTTAAATACCAGACATAACCTTGGTCTTGAAACTAGTTTTAATCATGGTCATGTTTAGGCCTACCTATGTACAGTACAATTTTAGATAATTGTTCCCTTTTATTTGTTGAAGGCAAAATGCATCATTGTCTCAGTTTGCTTTTTAAAAAGGAAAATTAGTACACAAGAACTAAAACAATACAAATAACATGTACTAAGCAAACAATGCAACTCCTGACAATCCCGGAACTCCTGTAGCTCCCTAACAATGTAATTCTTGATGATGACATAGGCCTAATTATTGTCGAAATATTGAATCCCAACACGATGGCGTGCATTTCAATACTTGGAGTATGTATTATACTATCTTATCTCAGATTAATCAGTGGACCTTTCGGTTAATGTAACTCCCCTTCCCTAAATCAAGAAATCAGAACTACAGTACGACTATACTACTAATTTCAGAAGATAATTTAACTGTATTAAGAATTTTTGTTTATTAGAATTACTTATTTAACTATTATATCACATGTATATTTATGATTCTACTGTATAAGGTACAACAAATATCTCAGAATGTTTATTTTTGAGAATAAAGTTGACTTATTATTTACACACTATCAAACTTTTCCACCAACCTCCCTAAAGTTTTTAACTAAGTTTGGCTCTAGAGGGTGCTGTTGCTCTCAAAAATTCATGAAGATATTAATCTTGTCAACTGCTTTTATTGATGAGTAACATTGAATAATTCTGCTAATAGTGTTTCATAAATGCAGTTTTTGATATTAAATTTGTGTGTGCTCATTTGTTTTTAGAAATCCAAGAAAGGATTTGATGATGATGATGATGCAGACTTTAAGAAAAAAAACCTTATGAATGTGTTGTAAAGTTGCAGCCAAAAGATCCTGATTATATCGAAGCATGGAACTTGGATAACACGCACTGATCCAGAGCTCAACCTGACTATCACACTGATGGGTTCATAGTGTATGTGTGTGGAGAAGGGGGGGGGGGGAGCAGGTGCTCTTTTCTGTGTCTTATTCTTATTTGTCTAAATTGTATTGAATTCATTTTTGTATGTGATTGTAAACACCAAATGAAACCAAATTTTGTTTGTGTTCTTGAAAATAAAATTTATCACATTGTAAATGCAATTGTTTTAATGATAATTATAATGATAAATGATGATATGATAATATTAATAATTATAACAGTTCCAAGAGAAACGCATTAGAATGGTTTAAAATATGCTTCTTAAATATAAATATTTTCATTCCATGTTGTCTTTTATTCAGCATATAAACGTATCCATATTACTCATTTACACAATACACCTGTAATATCTACTAGTATATGTACTTATTTGCATATTTACAGTATAATTTCAGATCAGTATTTTAAAGATTTTAATCACTCTATCTCAATGAACACTCTTCACCCTATTGCTCAAAGCCTCACACATTACATTACATGGTTTATCAATAAAGGGATACCTCAGGCAGACACAGAGGTGGTGCCAATGGGGGAACGTGGGCCATGGCCCCCATTCCAGGAGAAAAACACACTTCATAAGGAAGAAAAAAATTATACAGTATATGTTCATATTAGTAGACTCTAAAGTCATTAAATAAGCTTTTGAAACCACTAAATTGTCAGTTTCCGGGGGATACACTCTGGTTCACTTTCGAGAGATTTTTGAGCGACGCCTGACTACGCCCACATACATTCTTGTCGGGACATCAATCAATCCCCTCCCCTCTCAGGCAAATCCTGGCACCACCCCTGAGCAGACAGCATTAGAGCAGCTTTAAAACACTATCAATTTTTATGTGACAAATAACTGTGATATGTTCATGTTTGGGTGTAATATGGCATCATCAATCAATCCCATATATGGGCATGTCACACGGAACTGTCACGTTAATCTTCATAGTGTGGACAGAGAATATAAAATCAGACAATAAGACCAACTTAAGCCCCGTCCAGACATTTTGACAAAAATATGTGACATGCCTAAATATGGTCATGATGACATCACATCATGACCATATATTGGCACATCATGACTATATATGGGCATACAACAGTTTGTTGTCAAAACAAATTTTATAGTGTGGACAGAGCTTAACACATGAATATGAACCTTGTATCCAATAAGCGCCAGCGGTGGCGCCAGAAATTTTCCGACAAGGGGTACGACTTCTTCGACGGAGCCAAGGGCCGACAAGCTTCATTCAACGGCCCGGAATAAAAACTCCCTTGTAGGATTCACAGGGAGAACTGTTATGGCTTAGTATGGACAATTACTAATGGGATGTCACTGACATTAAAATGAATGCAAGAATCAGTGCATGTACCACCATAAAAATGTCCTCTAAATACTTGTTGCGTTACATTCTGATCCATGCAATTTTGCATCAAGTTTGTGATGTTAGTGACTAACATTTTTATTATAAACCATATGTATGAGGTCTGCCATGCCAAAGCATCAGTGACAATTAAAATTGACTTTTTAATAAATTGTTATTCACCACATTGTAGGCATTAAGATGATAAGTCATTTAATGGAATCAACTTACTATGGTCGAAGTTATGAGTAAAAGTATTATAGCTTCTCTGTAACAATACTGTATACAATTATACTGTCACATTTTTAATATGCTAATTAATACTCAGTTTAACAAACGAATCCTGCAGTCTATACAATGCTTGAATATGTAAAGTCCAGTTCAATGTTGTTCGAAAGGTAATTGCTTTCTATTTAATGCCTGCCATGGCATGTGATAGGTTTAGCTTCAGATGCGTCCTTGTGTGTTCTATCTGAAGTGTTTTATAGATCTCCAAAATCAGCTATTCCATTAATGGATTGTATATCTGGGTTCTGCTTTTCCTTTATTGGTTCTGCATTAGCAATTCCATCAATTGATTGTATTATCTAGGTTATACTTTCTTAAATTCTTAAATTTTGGCTCAGGATAAAGGTCGTCAATAGATTAGTGGACAATAGTATTCTGTCTGTCGCTATTTATTATTTTCCATTAAATGTGTTACTTTGGAGCTTATGTCTTAATTTTGTTTGATGTCTGTTACATCGGAATATATGAAATTTTCGACACTTTTACTTCCGCGTATGGGCTCCATTGTTGTACAAGTCGTTATTCATTTCAATTAATTCAACCTGGTTTAACGATACGTCGTGATTGACATAATGAGATTTAGTCACTTTGCTATTTTTTTCGTGATTCCTCTTAATTTTTGTTTTGATACAAACTACAAGTAGGCCTAGTAAAATAAGTAGGCCTAATACAGATCCGCTTACTATGTAAATTATCAAGTCACCAGTTGCTGCATCGTGACTGGTGAAAGAAAGAGTGATGCTTTTATTGGCACTTAATCCAGATGGTATACTGACTTTGCATTTTATTTCAGCATTTAAGTGTTCAGTTTGAAACTGTAAAATCTCTAAAATCGTACCATTTTCAATAATATTGAACATTCATTGAGATGACGTCACGTACTTATTGTTAAAGAACCAGTTATATTCCGAAATACGTGGAATACCCTCACCGGAACAGGTAATGTTTAATGAGTCTCCAGCATCATATGACATTTTATTTACGATTATACTTACATTAGGTTGGATGCTTAAAGGCACAACAGAGCAAGACTGGTTTCCAACTACAGATATTCCATCAGCTTTACATTTGAATTCAACTCCATTATCCTCATTTGACAATGAGATTGATAATATGTCTATGTAAGTACTAGTAACGTGTGACGTAAAATCGTCGGCTTCCTTAAGTTTGATATTGTTTTTTAACCAATGTAAAGATGGTCTTGGTATACCACCGATGGCAGTGCACACGATCTCCACATTTTCTCCAACATGTATGTTATCTATAGTGTTAGTAATGGTACATTTTGGATAATCTGTATCAAGGGGTGTAATGACGGGTGTCTATAAAACGAAGACTGAAAATCGAAGACCCAAAAACGAAGACTCCTATTTTTTCTCTTTCATTTTGATGATAATACGCCAGGCTGTCACAAAATCAAATTTACGACATTTTGGGGGCGTCTGTTTGTGAAATTTTCAAGGGTCTTCGTTTTATAGACACCCTATATGGGTGTCTACAAAACGAAGACCCGGAAAACGAAGTCCTCCAATTATTTCTCATTTATCTTATTGAAAGTAATGTGTCTTCCGTCATTGGGCACAGGCGCTGTTCCATCATGCTGCTTCCTATACCACTTCCATGAAGAAGCCTGGACCAGTGAGGAATACTCAAAGAAGGCATTCTGGCCCTCAAATACGGCTACATCTGTAGGATCAATACGTTCAGTACAACCAACGCTGAATATACAACTTAAAATTAGAATGAATGCAGCCGTCTTTTCTTGCTGAGGCACAACAACCTCATCGTGGCGTCGGACGAAGGATGGTGGAGGATATCCATGTTTGTAAAGGGAACGAAATAATTAGGACCTTCAGACCAACGGTCTTTGGACCAACGGGCCTTCGGGCCAAAGACCCTTCGGAGGTACGCACCCCTCGAAGATATGGCCAAACATCTCAGAATGTATACTGAGGTCGGAACCTGTTTGGGAAAAGAGGCAGTTAACTTTAAATACACGCATGATTGGAATATATACTGCTTTGGTTTAATATTACATATGCGGCGAAACTATCAGGTAATTTCCTGACACCGATTGTTTAAACTAGTAATCAAAATTATCAGTACTGGATATCCATTATCGACTATTGAAATATATAAATGCGTCTAATCAGCTAAATTCGCTGTCGTGTAAAAGTATTATGTAGCCATAATATAATATAAGATATATTATATATGATATGTATTAATTGAATTAAATGAAAGACCGATTAATTTAAAAGCGGATATATGTCTTACTTCTTGTAATGCATTATATTAGATATATTTTCAGCAAATCAAACAGTATATAATTTTCGAGTTAGGGGAGACAACGAATAATTAGATTTTAACTTTGCATGTGACAAGAGACGGAAGAGAGAGAGAGAGAGAGAAAAAGCTATTACATGGGGTGATTATCATGCAAATGCTTATATGATACACCCCCTAATAAGAAAATTATAATATACTGTTTTATTTTTTGAAAATATAGGAGTGTGTGGCGCAGCGTGTAAGGTGTTGGACTTCTGATCGTGAGTTCGGAAGTTCGAAACCGACGCTTGTCGCATTGCTTGTGTCCTTGGGCAAGGCACTTTACGTTTACCTCTCTCCACCCAGGAGTAAAAACGGGTATCTGGATAGGATGATGTGGCATTGAACGTATGTGCTTGCGCGTGTAAAGGCCAACTCAGGTAGCGTCGTACGACGCAGCTCGACGCGATTTGTTTTCGCGTCGGGTCTGCGTGAGATTAACCATGGAGGTATTAGCCTGGTTCTCACGAGAGCCCTACTATCCGGATCGGGAGCTAACCGTTAGCCTGCGTGAGAACGCCCGATCGGTTAGCCCTAACCGTTAGCGGTACCCGGATAGGTTGAGCGCGTTTTTATCATCAACCAATCACACGTACGCGTTTACAATCCAGTTTCTTATTGGCCAGTGATTCGATCACCATATTTTTGGTATCCGGATCGGGATTTTCTCGTATGGACGCAAGGCAGCTAACGGCTAGCAGGATCCGGATCCTGCTAACCGCTAGCTGCCGTGTGAGAACCATGTTCTCACACGAGAACATAGCCTAAAATATAAGCAGCATGACTAGGGAGCAGAGAAAGTTGCACAAAAAATGTGCTGGTTTGCCAACTAAGGATGTAGTGACCAGTGAAATACTGATGCCAACGCCCTTGTATAAAAATAAATTATTAAAAATTCATGTCTTTTAAAATGAAATTAATTGAATTGCACGTGATGTGTTTTGGTTCTATTAAACATCTTATTTTATTACAAATAAATCAACACTTAATTCTCAATATTTAGCATAAAATAATGTGAACAAAATCCTAAAGTGTTATTGGTATAGTGAATGGATAGTGGGATTAAAACCTTAATAGTATTTCCGATTCATCAAAGTTTATTCCGCCTATTTGAAGGTACACAACTGTTGAAAGGATGATAATAATATTAGGTATTAAGTGATATGTTAATAAGTAATAGTAAGATTGTATCTTAAAGACATTTTAACGTGGCATTTCAAGTTGACTTGACATTTATTCTTAAACGTTTGTTGACAATGTAAACATCCTGATCGCTACAACGTTTACCAATATTGTCTGTGGTGCGGCCATAACGTACGTGCTCACTTATTGTTAATGATTTCCTGTGCGACCGAATAGTACTTTAGATTATTTTTAGACCCAAACGTCACCCAATTTGTTCAATAGGCAAATTGCATTCTATGTTCCGCCTAGAATCAAAAGCCAATGCAAACAATACAACAAAACCTCAAAACTTGTGTAACTAATCCAAATAGGAGGAAACCAACGGGGAATCCTGTAAAATATCCCGTACGAACAATAGCAACACACAAAGAGTGTTGCCTAAAATACTGTAGTTCGCACTATGCATCAAAACATGGAAATAAAATATATATTTTAAGGCTATATAAATCGATTCTATATAATTTTATACTTAGGCAAATTATTCTTCCAGTTATATTGTGTTCACCTTATAATTTTAGTTTTCTTAGTTCTTTTCACCGTACCTAATGCAAAAACATATCATATGGGCAAACAAAATACAACACTTGTTCATTTATTTATTGTAAAGCTAGTTTAACTAACATGAGAAAACCAACAGGAGATGCCTGAGAGATATAAATCTCGTAATAACATAGCAATGGCAAGGATTGTTTACTTAAGTTCCCATTATGCATAAAAACATTGAAATAAAATGTTTAAAAAAACACCTTGTTCTCTGGAATGATGTAAATAATCAAATAGAATTTTATATATTAAAAGCATAACTTTCGACTTGTCACTTTATTTGGATATATAGGCCTAATATACTTTTTTTAAGACTTGCAAGGTTCAAATAACTTCATTTGGTTTCTATTTATGTATACTGAAAGGCAGCAAAGTGCTGTAAGTTAAAATTTCGGTTCACTTTAAACGAAATTTCAATATCAGTATAGATTTGTAAGGTACTGTATTATGCATCTTGGAGGTTATGAAATCTACACGTTTTATACATAATTGCTTTCATTATAACACGTTTTATAATAGGCGTAATTATTTTCCTAATTTTTGTTAGAATTTTCTTGATCTCATATATCAAATGTGTTGTCACCAATTTCAATTAACAGATGTACTCATGAAAATACCATACTGTTAATATTGTCTAAGCAATGCTTGAATATGTAACGTCCAGTTTAATGTTATTCGAAAGGACATTGCTTTCTATTCCTGGCCTGCCAGTGTATGTGGTAGGATTACCTTCAAACGCTTCCTTGTGTGTTCTATCCGGTTTGATGTAAAGTTGTGGTAAGTGTTCAGTTGAAGACGTTACACGATTCTTATTAGGCTTACTGTATAATAGGCCTAGATCATCAACCGATTCCGACCGGTTTGAGGACGTGTTATCATTTTCTGAAGATCCCAAAATATTTTCAAGAGACTGATGAATTGATTGTCGGTGTTTTATAGGCTTTGCATATAGATCTCCAAAATCAGCTATTCCATCAACTGATTGTGTATCTGGATTCTGCTTCTCCTTTATTGGTTTTGCATATAGATCTCCAAAATCAGCTATTCCATCAATTGATCGCGTATCTGGTTTCTGTTTCTCTTTTATTGGTTTTGCATATAAATCTCCAAAATCAGCAATTCCATCAATTGATTGTGTATCTGGGTTATGCTTTCTTAAATTCTTAAATTCTGGCTCAGCATAAAGGTGGTCAATAGAACTAGTGGACAATAGTATTCTGTCTGGTCGCTCTCTTGAAATATTTTCCATCGAACATGTTTCTTTTTGGCTTAAGCCTTGATTATGTTTGATGTCTGGAACATCGGAATATAAGATATTTTCGACACTTCCACTTTCATGCATGGGCATTGGATGCTCTAATTGAGGTTCACCATCTGGCTTAGCATAAAGGTGGTCAATAGAACTAGTGGACAAAAGTATTCTGTCTGGTCGCTCTTTTGAAATATTTTCCAATGAATATGTTTCTTTGGAGCTTAAGCCTTGATTATGTTTGATGTCTGATATATATAAGATATTTTCGACACTTTTACTTCCAAGCATGGGCATTGGATGTTGTGGGTGAGGTTCACCACTGCTGTACCAGTCTTTATTCATGTCTTCTTTTAATTCAACCTGGTTCAATGACACGTCGTGATTGACATAATGAGATGTAGTCACTTTGCTATTTTTTTCGTGATTCCTCTTAATTTTTGTTTTGGTACAAACTACAAGTAGGCCTAGTAAAATAAGTAGGCCTAATACAGATCCGCTTACTATGTAAATTATCAAGTCATTTGTTGCTGCATCATGACTGGTAAAAGAAAGAGTGATGCTTTTATTGGCACTTAATCCAGATGGTATACTGACTTTGCATCTTATTTCAGCATTTAAGTGTTCAGTTTGAAGCTGTAAAATCTCTAAAATCGTACCGTTTTTAATAATATTGAACATTGATTGAGATGACGTCACGTGCTTATTGTTAAAGAACCAGTTATATTCCGAAATACGTGGAATACCCTCACCGGAACAGGTAATGTTTAATGAGTCTCCAGCATCATATGACATTTTAGTTACGATTATACTTACATTAGGTTGGATGCTTAAAGGCACAACAGAGCAAGACTGGTTTCCATGAACTACAGATATTCCATCAGCTTTACATTTGAATTCAACTCCATTATCCTCATTTGACAATAGGATTGATAACATGTCTAGGTAGGTAACACTATTAGCCCCTGACGTAAAATCTTCGTCTTCCTTAAGTTTGATATTGTTTTTGAACCAATGTAAAGATGGTCTTGGTATACCACCGATTGCAGTGCACACGATCTCCACATTTTCTCCAACATGTATATTATCTGTGCTGTTAGTAATGGTACATTTTGGATAATTCGTATCAAGAGGTGTAATGACCGTAAGGTTTGCCGAATTAGAAGATGTATGATCTCGTTCGTAATGATATTTTGTCTGATCGTCAGCCCTTGTCACATTTAAGACTGTCAAATTACTCGCCGTACGCATGCCGTTAACAAATATAACGTATTTTCCGTCATTGTACAGACGCGCTGCTTTACCATGCCGCGTCCTGAACCACGTCCATGAAGAAGCATTGACCGGTGAGGAATACTCAAAGAAGGCATTCTGGCCCTCAAATACGACTACATCTGTAGGATGAATTATTTCAGTACCAGCAACGCTGAATATACAACTTAAAATCAAAACCAATGACTGCTGCAATCTTCTCTTTCTGGGGCACAACAGACCAAATGATAGGCCTAAGTTTAGTATGATACAGCGCATGGTGTCTTGAAATAACCCAATATCATAACATACTGTCTTAACGTTTTGGTATTCAGTACAGTAGTGTCATACAAGGAAATACAGTTGTGTTGTTTATGTAGGCGTAATGTTTATATTTTATACAGTACAATGATTTAATTCATTGGAGAATTACACCAAGCATGACGCACTCAATCTGTATGCTGTCCATGTTTTTCAAAATGAAAGTCTTAATGAAGTTTTGCAAGCCTTTAAATAAGCCATTAAATCTCCTCTAATCTGTCCCTTAAAGATGGATAAATGCATTACCAATATATTCATTACAACAAACGCTGAATATACAACTAACATGACAGAAGATCATAGAAGAGAGTCAGTGGCACAGCTCGGAGGAATCTTGAAATGGGGAGGGGATGATAGGGAGCACGAAGGGCACGTGGGGGTGGGGTGCTGGATGATTAGGTGAAGGGCTATAACTCGCAAAATAAGGTAATTTTAGGTGACTTTTAACTACTTGAGGGGGAGGGGGGCGAGTATTTTTGAGTGGCGTTCTCCACCCACACAGACCTCTAGATACGCCACTGAATCGAGTTATCAGGTCCGTCGAAACCACACCGGCTGTGCCGGACACTTTTTCTCGATTCTATTATTTTTAATTAATATATACTGATACTTATATATTTAAACAAAAATCCACCATGCGCTTGTTTTTATATTGCCTACTTTTTAACTTTTTTGGCAAACTTTAATTATTAGTAATAAAGATAAAAACAAATTTTGAAAATATTTTGAGGTATGCCTATAAATATAAAATTAAAATTAACTTTTATCTTATAAAATTTTACAGGTTAGAGTTGCCAAATTGCCATCACAACACAAACGTATTCGTGCCAAGTCGGCATCAGCTGATTACATGTAATACAAATTTAAGCCGCTAAAGTGATGGATATTCATTTTTTAAAGTAATGATGTGTTTCCTCCTGCAGAACAGCCATTTTTTTCAACCATGGTGGAGCTGCAGTTGGGGGTATTATATCTAGTCCACTTCCACTATCTTTAAATCCTGTAACTGCCCCTGCATGGGGTAGGCGTAACTTTTTACTGGTTGTCCGCTGCTGTTATTGTGTAGACCTATCAACAGAAAGTCATATTTAAAAAAAATAAAATTCATATCTCAACTAATTTTTCCACTTGAGAAGATGGGTATAGCGGTTCTGCATTACTGCCAGCTGCGATTTTCGGGCATCCTTCAAATTAAACTTTTAGACCGCAATATCAAGGAATGGCAATCACAATAAACTTTGATTGGATTTGACGTCGGACGAATGATGGTGGAGTATATCCATGTTTGTAAAGGGGTAAGGTATGCAACAAAATAAACAATTCCATGTGCGATGCAATAACTCGATTAAATCCAAACATGTCATTGATATATACGTTACTACAGAATCGGGGCATTCCCCGGGCGTCAATCGGAACAAGAAGCTCTATGATGGGAGCATTACTCATTATAATACTGAATTTAAACACATATTAGTCTTTACCATAACTGCTGAATTTCCCGGAGATTTGTAAAACACAATCTTCATTTTCCCTCGTACGCTGATGATACGCATATTTACATCCCATGCCTACCATTTGGATCAGAAGTTGACAACGGAATAGCCCGCACTGAGTCTTGTCTTGATGATCTTTGTTCCTGGTTGACTCGAAACTACTTAAAGATCAACGAGGACAAAACAGAGATTATCATTATCGAGTCAAAACAACAAAGGCAGAAAGTTTAGGTTAGTCACATCAGTGTATCACCTTCCACCTGCAGCGTGCAAAAACATTGGAGCAATTTTCAATGATTGCCTTCAAATATTTTATTGCAAATAAATGAACTTTTCAATTCTCAATATTTAAAAAAATCGTAAAGTGATATTAGTACAGTGAATGGACAGTGAGATTAGACCTCTTAACAGTATTTCGTATGAGTTTATTCCGCCTAGTTCAAGACACTCAAATGTTGAAGTGGATGATAATAATATTAGGTAATTACGCAATATTAATATTATGTTGATAAGTAAATTTGTCTTTTAAGTTGACTTAACATTTACCCTCCTTAAATGTTTGTTGACAATGTAAACATCCAGACGAACATTTACCAGTATTGTCTGTGGTGCAGATGTAACGTAGGTGCTCACTTATTGTTAATGATTTCATGTACGACCGAATAATATTTAGATTAATATCAGACCTAAACCTAATCAAATTTGTTCAATACCAATAAGTCAAACGACAATATTATTATTTGTATTTTGTGTTCTGTCTGAAATTAAGAACCAATTGGATTGGATTTATTTAGTGTAAACACCAAGGATAGCCCACGAATGTCTAGAAGTAGACTTATTTCCAGTGGGGTCCTTCTGGTGGTGATTGGACAGTACGCGGGGAGATATTACCCTACTCTTTTCCAAGAGTGTACAGCAACCAACGGCTTAAACGTCTCTTCCGAAAGACGGTGCGCTATTATAACTTGCATTTCAGCCCTCTAGCTGAAACACGGGGAAAGGCAGCGATGAAAATTGAACCGGGGACCTACAGATCTCAACGGTTCAGTGCAAACACAGAAGCTACCACCAGATTAGCCGACTGAGCTAAGCTGCTCTCCAATACAAACAACAAAACCTCAAAACTTGTGTAAACTGTTTCCTGGTGTAACGAATCCTGTAAAACATCTCATATGAACAATAGCACCCACACAATAAGTGTTGCCTAAGACAGTTCGCACTATACATCAAAACATGGAAATAAAACATATATTATTAGGCTTATATAAATCTTGGTTTAATATTTTATTATAGATTTATACTTAATTGTTGTTCCAGGTATATTGTATTCACCTTATGTGTTTGTTTTCTTCGTTCTAGTCACCGTACATAATGTAAAAACATATCTGGGCAAACAACACAGCACTTGTTCATTTACTTACTATAAAGCTATAGTTACCTATTATCCAAAAATGAGAAAACCAACAGGAGAATCCTGAGAGATTTATATCTCGTAATAACAACAGCAAATCACAAGGGATTGTTCACTTAAGTTCCTACTATGCATAAAATATTTAAATAAAATGTTAATAAATAAAGATAACCTTGTTCTCTGGATTGGTGTAATAATGTAATAATAATGTAATAATAATTCTATTTATATTTAAAGCATAACTTTCGACTATTAGTGATCATCGCCACTTTTAGTTGGATATATAGGCCTAATGTAGTTTTTCTTTGGTTTTTATTTATGTATACTGAAACGTAACATAAGTTAAAGTTGTGGTTTACATTAAATGAAATTTCAATATCAGTATAGATTTGTGAGGTATTATGCATCTTGGAGGTTATGAAATAACATCTTATACATAAGTTTTTTCATTATAACACGTTTAATAATAATTATTATCCTAATTTTTGTTAGCATTTCTTTTTATCGCATATATATCAAATGAGCTGTCAACAATTTCAATTAACAGGTGTACATCATGAAAATACCATACTGTAAACACAGTCTATACAATGCTTGAATATGTAAAATCCAGAATGTTGTTCGAAAGGTTGCTTTCTATTTAATGCCTGCAAGGGCATGTGGTAGGTTTAGCTTCAGACGCTCCCTTGTGTGTTCCATCAGACTTTAGTGTAAAGTTGTGGTAAATGTTCAGTTGACGAAGTTACACATTTCTTAATAGGCTTTCTATATACTGTAGATCAAATGATTCCGATCGGTTTGAGGACGTGAATTTTTATGAGATCCCAAAACATTTTCAAGAGACTGATGAATTGATTTTCAGTGTTTTATAGATCTAAAAAATCAGCTATTCCATCAACTGATTGTGTATATGGATTATACTTTCTTAAATTCTTAAATTTTAGCTCAAGATAAAGGTCGTCAATAGATCTAGTGGACAATAGTGTATGGTCGCTATCTATTGTTTTGCATTAAATATGTTTCTTTGGGGCTTAAGACTTAATTTTGTTTGATGTCTGTTACATGAATATATGAAATTTTCGACACTTTTACTTTCGAGCATTGGCAGGATGTTGTGGTTGAGGCTTACCATTGCTGTACAAGTCGTTATTCATTTCAATAAATTCAGCCTGGTTCAACGATACGTTGTAATTGGCATAATGTGATGTCATTTTGCTCTTTTTTTCTTGACTCCTCCTAATTTTCGTTTTGATACAAACTACAAATAGGCCTAGTAAAATAAGTAGGCATAATACAGCTCCGCTTACCATGTAAATTATCAAGTCACTAGTTGCTGCATCGTGGCTGGTAAAAGAAAGAATGATGCTTTTATTGGCACTTAATCCAGATGGTATACTGACTTTGCATCTTATTTCAGCATTTAAGTGTTCAGTTTGAAGTTCTAAAATCTCTAAAATCTTACCATTTTCAATAATATTGAACATTGATTGAGATGACGTCACGTGCTTATTGTTAAAGAACCAGTTATATTCCGAAATACGTGGAATACCCTCACCGGAACAGGTAATGTTTAATGAGTCCCCAGCATCATATGACATTTCAGTTACGATTATACTTACATTAGGTTGGATGCTTAAAGGCACAACAGAGCAAGACTGGTTTCCAATTACAGATATTCCATCAGCTTTACATTTAAATTCAACTCCATTATCCTCATTTGACAGTGAGATTGATAATATGTCCAGGTAAGTAACATAGCTACCGTGTGACGTAAAATCGTCGGATTCGTTAAGTTTGATATTGTTCTTGAACCAATGTAAAGATGGTCTTGATATACCACCAATTGCAGTGCACGCGATAACCACAGTTTCTCCAACATGTAAGTTATCTATAGTGTTAATAATGGTACATTTTGGATAATGCGAATCAAGGGGTGTAATGACCGTAAGGGTTGCCGAATTAGAAGATGTACGATCTCGTTCGTAATTATATTTTGTATGATCGTCAGCCCTTGTCACATTTAAGACTGTCAAATTACTCGCCGTACGCATGCCGTTAACAAATATAACGTATTTTCCGTCATTGAACAGACGCGCTGCTTCACCATGCCGCGTCCTGTACCAGGCACATGAAGAAGCCTGGACCGGTGAGGAATACTCAAAGAAGGCATCCTGGCCTTCAAATACGACTACATCTGTAGGATGAATTATTTCAGTACAAGCAACGCTGAATATACAACTTAAAATCAAAACCAATGACTGCTGCCATCTTCTCTTTCTCGGGCACAACAGACCAAATGATAGGCCTAAGTTAAGTATGATACAGTGCATGGTGTCTTGAAATAACCCAATATCATAACATACTGTCTTAACGTTTTGGTATTCAGTACAGTAATGTCATACAAGGAAATACAGTTGTGTTGTTCATGTAGGCGTAATGTTTATATTTTATACGGTACAATGATTTAACTCATTGGAGAATTACACCATGCACGACGCACTCAATCTGTATGCTGTGCATGTTTTTCAAAATGAAAGTTTTAATGAAGTTTTGCAAGCCTTTAAATAAGCCATTAAATCTCCTCTAATCTGTCCCTTAAATATGGATAAATGTATTACCAATATATTCATTACAACAAACGCTGAATATACAACTAACATGACAGAAGATAACAGAAGAGAGTCATTGGCACAGCTCGGAAGAATCTTGAAATGGGGGAGGGGATGATAGGGAGCACGAAGGGCACGTGGGGGTGGAGTGCTGGATGATTAGGTGAAGGGCTCTAACTCGCAAAATAAGGTAATTTTAGGTGACTTTTAACTACTTGAGGGGGAGGGGGCGAGTATTTTTGAGTAGCATTCTCCACCTACACAGCCCCCTAGATACGCCACTGAATCGAGTTATCAGGTCCGTCGAAACCACACCGGCTGTGGCCGGACCACTTTTTCTCGATTCTATTATTTTTAATTAATATATACTGATACTTATATATTTAAACAAAAATCCACCTTGCGCTTGTTTTTATATTGCCTACTTATTAACTTTTTTGGCAAACTTTAATTATAATAAGTAATAAAGATAAAAACAAATTTTGAAAATATTTTGA